GTATATTGTCAGTAAAATGCTCTGTGGAGTCACCTTCATAGTCAGAGTATGTGTGGTTTTTTTAAATAGCATATTGTATTTCAGTGTCAAAAATTGTACTGACAATCTTAAAATGAAAGCAAGTCTGCATCAGGCTCCACACTGAGATCCCCGTTCACTCTGCAGAATGAAAGTAGGATTACATACCATGGCTTGCAAAACTTTCATGAAAACTTAACAGTACATACTCCTCTACTTCCTCCTCACTCTTTTTAATGAGGAAGTTAATACATATAATAATGGTATTTTACTACTTCTCTATCCTCTTCCCCCCCCTCCAAAAAAAAAATTCTCTGAGCAAGAGAGTAAGTAGACTGTTACAGATGTGCTGTACTAACTGATGTAAAGATGGTAGAACCTTGATTGGGGCTGTGGGTAATACTTCTCAGCCTGAGGTCACTATTAGCAATTAGTGGATATGAGATAATCTCTTCTTCACTAATCCTTCAATAATAACTAAAAACTAACAGATGGAATGACGCATGTCTACAGAATGTTTTATTCAGGTATATGATTATGGTGTACAGGGGACATAAGAAACCCTTAGCCAGCCTGGGGAGAATTCCTCTGGTTCAGGCACTGCATACCAGTCATAGGTAAGGCTAAGATTTAGTCACAAGTATTTTTAGTAAAAGTCATGGACAGGTCACAGGCAGTAAACAAAAAGTCATGGCCCCTGACCTGTCTATGACTTTTACTAAAAATACCCCTAACTAAATCTTAGGTGCTGGGGAGGGAGCGCTCCCAGGTATGCTTCTGCTCTGGAGGGGTGCTCTGAGGGATGCTGCTGCTTCTGGGGGGGCACTCTGGGCCCCGCCGCTGTTGGGCAGGGCCCACTGCAGCTGCTCTGGGTGGGGGGCGGCCTGAAGCCCCGCCGCTGTTACTCCCAGACTGCTGCTGCTCCCGGACTACTGCTACAGGGCAGAGCCCAGGACCAGCTGCCTGGGGCTGCCCGAGCAGCGGCCGGTTCGGCTGGCCCCGGGCCGACCCAGCTGCTCGGGCGATCATGGAGTCAGCCGCATCGGCTGCTGCAGAAATCACAGAGGTCCTGGAAAGTCACAGAATCTGCGACTTCCATGACCTCTTTGAAAGACTCACAGCCTTAGTCATAGGCTGCCCTGTGCAGGCCTTCTCACAAGACCCAGCATATGAGGTATGCCAGGAATAAACGGGGATAGGAGGGAAGCATATACTGCTATGAAGATTCTCAGCTGCTGTTGGTTGTGAAACTACCCACAGGCACCCCAAGAATGAGCCCATATTTTTTAAAGCATCTCTTAGCTGCTCTATTTTTCTCCAGGAGCCACACCAGATTTGTTCATGTTCCCCCTATAGAAGTAAAATGGTGAACAAGGATGCCAGTTAGTGACAGGTGGGATGGTAGTGTTTGTGATGTGTTCATTGGAACTAGTCTGAGATCACGACACTAATTTCAAGTAGGCCACCAAAAGTCACTGGATAATAATGACATAATTAATCTATATTTGAACCACTGAGCTAAAGATGAAAGGGTCTGTGCCTCAATACTAATCCCTTATGTCACCCTGTGCCCCAATGTGATATATAAAGCCATGAAGTCAATTTTTTTTCTGGGTGCTTATTATAAACTGTGTAAAAGTTGACTGTAAAAGTTAGGTTATCTTTTCAATCCTCTATCATCTGTCTTGTCAGCTGCAACTGAAATGTACTCAATTGCCAGCCATTCTTTCTTAGTAGTTGATGGGTATCTAAAAAAAACAAGAGCTAAATATAGACAAGGTTACATAAGTGCAAGGGATTTTTTTGTTTTGTTTTGCTTCCTGGAAGCAAAACAATAGTTAGGGAAATGGTGTTTTGAATTGGACTTTCAATTAAGTCAACACAAGACTTCCAATATGATCCCCCAAAAAAGAGAGCCATCAAACTAAATCCTTCATAGAATTCTTTGCCGGAGTAACACTGTCTGACTTAAGGAGAGTGGATTCTGGGAGTGGTTTAGAATCTAATTTATTTCTTTTACCGAATATTGATGATCTCAGCAGTAAGGGAATCTGTCATTCAGCCAAGGACTGTGTGGCCTTGATCTGTATTTTAACAAATCATTTTTCATATATAAAAGCTTGTGTGAGAGGTCAATTTTCAGTGGGTCACAGCAGAATAGCTCTTTTGTTACACATGTAGCTAAACCAATAAGTACCAGTCTCCTCAAAAATTTGCAACGAACAATAGGTAAAATGCAGGTCTTGTCCCTGTCTGCAGTATAGTTCCAATGTGACTTTCTCCCCCATGTTCACTCTGCATTGGTCAAGAAACCTTAGTTGATTTTCAATGGATTCGAGCTATTTGTGTTTTTAAATTCTACTCCGTTTTTGGAGGTTAATCAAAGACAGACAGCACTGCTATGTGTAAGAGATCCATCCCGTGCTGTGGTTATCTAATAGCAGCTGATCCCACACTGCAGTTGTATAACATTTCCGAGGAACTTCTAGGAAGTCACAGTAGCCTCCAAGTACTATGTAAAAAATATGTAACTAATACAGCATGACCTTGTTTGGATAGTAGAGAGTTACAACAAGCTTCTTTGGTGCACAAGCCTATTAGCTGCCAACAGCTCAGAAAAGTTACTCTTAGATAACTGCAGGGACAGAATTTCTCTGACACCCATTTGGATAGCAGTCAGAAAACACGCCAGTATTCTAACGTTAACAGAAGAAAATTTCCTTAGCAAAAAACAGAGGTAATTTTTAAAAAACAAACAGAAGTAGTTTAAACCAGATTGAAAGTCTGTCTTCCATCTTGTGGCCTCACAGAATTACTCGTCTAAATGCAGCAGCGTGCACCCCTAAGTGACCTTAGCTCTGCATGATACTCCATGCAGCACTGCCTGTGATCAACACTCCAAGCTTGCCTTGTGACATGTATGCTATATGCAGAACAGAGAAACAAGCACAAATCAAAGACAGTGTGGCAAGGCAGCCCTACTGGCACTGGAGAAGCAACAGCAGCCCCTCCAGTCAGCAGCCCCTCCAGTACCAACGTTTACAACAGAACACATTTCTGGACATTTTAACTTAAAACCAACATCTTGTGACCCTCTAATGTACATGAACCCTTGGGAAATTATTCCTATCTATGCCTTGTTGAATCCTGGTAAACCCTCCTTGTAACTTCCATCACATTAAATTTTTCTCCTGGGCATGACAGTGTGACATTCCTCACATATCCATCCTCCCAATGCACACTGACAGACTCACAGAGATACCTGTACCTACCTCCAAATTAATTCTGGAAAAGCAGGGGTTAATATAGCTTAATAAATAAACACGTATCCTGTTTTCTGATACATGGGGCTCAGCAGATATGAAGGTAAAATCTCTGTATTGACAAGTGACACTCCACATTTTAAGCCACTCATCTGTTCTGGAGGTACAGAGCTCTTTTTCTAAGACCAGTAATAAGGATGATACTCAATCCAAGGTTAAAGTATTGATTAAAAAAAAAAAACATTATGTTGTGGTCTATCCAAATCCTAGGGTTTTCTTCTCCATGTCAAAAATACCATTGTCTCAGCCCTATATTTGGTAAGATGCAGTCAGAACAGTCTGCTCTGCACTTGGTATGCTTTACATAACCAACGCACAATTCAAATATTAACTCAGGCATGGTCTACACCAGGGGTCGGCAACCTTTCAGAAGTGGTGGGCCGAGTCTTCATTTATTCGCTCTGATTTAAGGTTTTGCATGCCAGTAATACATTTTAACGTTTTTAGGTCTCTTTCTATAAGTTTATAATAAATAACTATTGTTGTATGTAAAGTAAATAAGGTTTTTAAAATGTTTAAGAAGCTTCATTTAAAATTAAATTAAAATGCAGAGCCCCCCGACAGTGGCCAGGACCTGGGCAGCGTGAGTGCCACTGAAAATCCGCTCGCGTGCTGCCTTCGGCACACATGCCATAGGTTGCCTACCCCTGGTCTACACTAAGTTAGGATGACCCAGCTACGTCACTCAGGGGTGTGAAAAATCCACACTCCTGAATGATGCAGCTAGCCTACATGAGCGTAGCAGGTCTAGAATTCTTCCCTGGACCTAGCTAGTCCCTCTTCGGAGGTGGATTACCTATGCCCACGGGAGAACCCCTCCCCTTCAGGTAAGTCTACACTGAAGCCCTACAGTGGCACAGCTGCAGTTTCGAGGTTAGACACCCTAATTCTCACAGCACCTGGCTGAAATAAGTATTACAGTACTCCCACTTTGCAGAAGAGGAAAGCAAAATAGAGATTAAGTGACTTCACCTATTTTGATTTTGCTAAAACTGGATCAAAATAGAACACTTATTCCATAACAAAATGTGTGAATTAAAACAGATTTAGTTATTTCCGTACAAGTTTGGGTGTAGCCGAACCTTTGTGCAGGAAGCTCTGTCCTTCCTGTTGCATCAGGTCTGAAATGAGAATCTCTGTGACGCTGGGCTAACGTCTGCCTAGCTGCACTGTAAGGCGGAAAGCACATTTCCTGTCACTGTGAAATACTGATAATGCTGCGTTCCAACGTCTGTATTTAATCTCCTAACATACCAGATCAGAACCAACCCCGGGCGTTTTGACACAATGCCGTCTGGGCTTGACACACGTACGGGACCAGCTCAGGACGCGGCGATCTCCCTGGGCCCGCCAGAGGAGAGGGGGTGTCAGCGGCTTCTGCGGCCCTGCGTGTCCCGGCTCCCGGGCGGCGCGGGAGAGCCTCAGGGCCGGGACCTGACACCCGGCGATGCGCAGCGTCCCCTCAGCTAGCGCACGGCCGGGCCGCGCAGCGCCAAGGGCGCTCTGGCCTGGGGCGGGGATGCAGGGCCCTGCAGTTTCCGGAAAGCCGAAGTCTGGGCAGGAAACTGCGAGGGGCGGTCCTCACCTCAGGGCACCCCGGGCCGGCGCAGGCAAGCTGAGGACGGGGGTGGCTCCAGTGGACGGGGCGGGGCGGCTTGTCCCTCTCAGCATCCCGGTCTGGAAGGCGCCACCTCCACGCTCCCTGCGTCCGCCGCCTCTGTCCCCGACTCCCTTCATCCTTTGTCTTCACTCCGGAAGGGCCGCGGTGGGCGCAGGATGAGCAGCGGCGGCGCAGGCAGCAGTGGTCGGGCGGCGGCTCTCTCCGCCCGGGGCTCCCGCATCGCCGGCGGCGCCCGGGGCCTGCTGGACAAAGGCTTCGACTTGTACATCGCGGACCCCTTCGACCGGGACCGCAACCCGCGGGTGAGGGGAGCCGGCAGGGCAGAGCCCCGCTCCCGGCGGCCGGGGGGGCGAGGAGTCCCGCAGGTTTGGGGGCGTCAGTCCCTCCGAGCAGCAGGCCGGGGAGAGGGCGAAGGGGCCCGCGCCACGGGGATGGGCGCTGCGGAATGCCCTGGAGCAGGTGCCGGGGCGGGTGTCGGCAGGCGGGCGGGGGTTGGGGAGCACGCAGGGGACGAGCCATCCAGGTGAGCTGCCCCCATCGCCCTGATATCAGAGCCCCGCACGGGAGTTAATGCCCCCCCCGGCCCGTGAGGTACCAGTTCCCTTATCCCCCTTGCGCACACTGGGAACCGAGGCACTCCGGGTATGTTCAGACCGCAGGGGGAGATGGAGCGACTTGCCCAGAGAGCAGGGCACTGAACAGGGGGCTCGAGTCCAGCACCCTAACCGCTGGAGCCTCCTCCCTGTCCCCCTGTGGGGTTCAGCGGGCCGGGGAGGTGGGTGCGGACAGTGCTTAGTTTGTGCCGGGGCTCAGCCCTGGAACCGCTAGGCTTGGCAGTTCATAGTCCCGGCGCCTCGCGGCTTGCTGTGTCAGTTATGAAAGAAAAAAAATGCCTTGAGCCCTGGCACCTCTTTCATTAAAAATTAAGCAGTGTGTGTAGGGTTCCTCGAGATTCCTACGCAGGACTTTAAAACAACCCTCTGTAAACTGGGCTACTGCCGGGTGACTAAGGAGTAAAGACGCAAGGGGGGAGGGGAAGAGTGAGACGCATTGTTGTTGCTGATCCCTGTAGAGGATGGTGCTGCTGAGCCAGTCTGGGTACGGTGGTTCAAGCTGGTTTGTGCCAGTAATACTATGATGACGTTATTCCCTGATCCGAAATCACCCTAACAAGGAGGTGCTGGTGCTGCTGCCTCTCTATTTGCATAGTGTCTGACGAACATGAGCATGTCTGCTGTACGTTGCATAAATGAGACCACTTCCCTGCCCCAGCAACCAATGTTATGTATTGTTTGATGTTATAGTCCTACAGGAATAGGAATAATCAGTGTTCTATACTGTGAGAGCATTCATTTGCCAGAGCACAATTGGATGCAAGCAAACAATTCCAACTCCTTTGATCCCATTTCCAGAGGCTAGTGGTTTTTCTGATACAAACAAGGTTTCTTGTTGTCCAGACCAGAGTGAAGTGTGTCGGGTCTTTGGCGCAGTTGTCAGCCACAATCGATCAAAAACAGGATGTTAACTTAAAAATCATGAGAGCTTAAAAAATAGTTTTTGAGCCTTTCGGAGTAACATTTTCAAGCTTTTCTCCACAACTAGGAGGACTAGAAACTTAGTTTAATTTTAAATGAAACTGAGATTCTCACATCATCACCTGGCTTCAGGAGACGAGGCTTTAAGAAAAGCACCAAATATCCCAAGGCTTATGATAAAATAGCCTGTCACAGTTATTCTCAACTCCGGCAATCTTTCATACTGGCCTCTGGCTAACAGGTTTGGGCTACTGAATTGGAGATATGGTAGTAAATGTTTTAGGCCCTTCTTATAAAGACAAAGGGAATCCAAACTGGATTATTTTTAGATGTCCTCAATTGTTTAATATCTGTAATTTTCTTTCAGGGCATTTTGAATTTGGGAACAAGTGAGAACAAACTTTGCTATGATTTAATACAGGAAAGAGTAAGTGGATATGAATAATTTGGAATGATGGATTTTGACCTATAGAATGGTATTGCAGCTGTCAGTTGAATTTTAATAATGGTGTGGTGTTTTACAGATGAATAATTTAGAACAGAATAAATAATGCCTTTAATTGTCTCTAGTGAATTGATAGCGTTATGACAAAAAACTTTTTTAAACAACCATGCTTCATACTTAATATTTGTATATCAGTCAGATACACTTAGCAAAGTAATATAACAATGAAAAGTGTGGCTCTGGCTGAGAGCCAACACCATTTTCTTTGAAATTTGCCTAAGCAACATCACTCAGATTTTAAAAAAAATGTTCAATCCAAAGTGTTCTTTATGTTTAGATAGAAATAATTTAAAGTACTCTTCTCATTTAATCAAAAACAATTGTTTGGAGATTATTTTTTTCTTATGAGAGAAATTACTGAGTACTCTATCATATTGTTTGATTCTCTTCTGGTGGAGCCAAAACTCTTACCTAGAATGGAAAGCATTCTTTATGTTGGAATTATGCATTGATTTTAAGCAAAACTATTTTTAAAAAGTGATTAATTTTTGTATATCAGTCCAGATGTCAGGCTGCAGTGCTGCACAAAAGCAATTTCTATTATCTGAAAAATGATAATATAAAAATGGCACCTTTTTAAGTGAGAAAGTAATTTTTAAAGCTGTGGAAGAATAAACTAGATTTTATTTTGGGTCACACAGCAGCAAAATTAATTTCCAATTGTAGGGCCAGCTTGTGCTTTCATTTAGACTTGTTCACCCCTACTAAAAGTCACTGAAATTGCACGGATGCAGTTTGTTCTGCAGAATCTTTATTACTGATGTCAGTGCTTGATTTGTAGATCTCAAGGTGAGTTGGCATGCCTGACAATTTGGGAAAGGAAATGTTTTTTTAATAACGTGAGATCTGTGCAAATTTTAGCTGGAAGTAGTTGGCCCAGTAAATATGGAACTGCACATTGTCTTTATTAGTCACTTTCAGACTAGATCCACATTTTAAAATAAAAAATCTAACCCAGTTGCTTCGGCTGTTTCTTAACTGTACCAGGTAAAATTATTAGTTCCTTCCCAACCAACTGAGAAGCTAAGTTCCCTATAAGCTGCGTGGCTGCGCAGCAGCCTATTTAGCGTCGCACAGGTGCTCAGGGAACCAGCCCAGCCGACTGGCCGAGCGAGGGGCACACCATAGGCTCCAACTCCCCCTCGGGGGGGGGGGGGGGGGGGTACTCGACTCTGCTCAGGCCCTGCCCCCACTCCATCCCTTCCCCCAAGTCCCCGCCCACCCTGACTCTTCCCACTCCACCCCCATCCCGCCTCCTCCCCCAAGCGTGCCCCATCCCCTCTCCTCCCTCCCGGAGCTTCCTACATGCTGCAAAACAGCTGTTCACAGCGGGCGGGAGGCGCTGGGAGGAAGGGGGAGGAGTTGGTCAGTGCGGTGGGTGGGACGCGCTGGGAGGGAGGGGAGAAGTTGGCTGCCAGCAGCACCCACTAGTTTTTCTCTGCGGGTGCTCCAGCCCTGGAGCACCCACTGAGTCGGCGCCTATGGGGGCACCCGGCCCCAACTCAGCTCCGGACCTGTCGCAGCTAGGGGAGGGGCGGCCTGAAGCCAGCCCCAGCCCAGACCTGCCGCGGCGGGGGAGGGGCGCCTATTCCACAGCCCCAGCCCAGGTGCTGCAGAGGAGAGAGAGCTGGGGGGAGTCCCCTCTCCCCGCCTTAGGCCCAGAGCACCCTCCTGCACCCCAAACCCCTCATCCCTGGCCCCAGCCAGAGCCCACACCCCCATCCAGAGCCCTCACCCTATGCACCCCAACCCTCTTCCCCAGCCCTGAACCCCCTCCCATACTCCGAACCCCTCAGCCCCACTCCACACCACACATGAATTTTGTTATGTGCACCAATATGAAGGTGATGTGTCACATCACCTCCATATTGGTGCACATAACAAAACTCATTCCGCACATGTGTGGGAAAAATTAGAGGGAACACTGCTGAGAAGGTAATTTAAACACAATTGACTTTTAATTTTTAAAATAATGCTGTACCTCCTGTAAATATTAAAAGAAAATGGTGGGGATTTTGGTGTGTCCTCAAACAGTAATTATAGAATCTCTGAGATTAGTTCTAGTATATTTTCACTCAACAATGTGTTGGATTTAACCAGGACAGAACAGTCCATAAATAACTTTTTGCTGATCTGAAGAAACTGCTGATGAGCATCTTGCAAATAAAGAGATGGAAGTTTGAACTGGGAAGATGGATCTAACTCTTGAATAAGATTTTCCATCTCCCCATTGTTACAGAATGGTATTATGTAACTACATAGATTGTCATGTGGTTCAGTAGAACACAAGCTCATAGGTGAGAATATGTTTTTCTACACTATGTTTTTTATGTCTCTTTCTGTTTTTTATGTTAACAGCTCACAAGACCTGACATGAACTATCTGGAACCTCACCTTTTGCAATATTCTGATACACAAGGCATTGAAAGGTATGAAGTTATTAAAATATTGTCTCCTTTTCACAATTTGTTGTGGTTTCATTTAATCTACAAACCCAGGGGTTTATACCCAGTTTAATATTAGCTGCTTGCTCTGAAGATGTTTTTCTGTTTCCTGTTGGTTTTCAAGAGTTACTTTCCTATTTTTTTCCCAGCTCCTACGACCTTTACCCTACCACCTCCCCCGCAAAAAAAAGCATGACACCTTGCATATAGGCAGGGGAGAATGCTGTAGAGGTCCTTTCACAGCTAGTAGCAGTAATTCTCACAGGCAAACTCTGGCAGTGAACAGTTAAAGCTAGAACTCTGTGTTCTTCAGAGACAGGATCAGGGTAAACGCTGATCCTGTAAATATCAATGGGAATTTTGCCATTGACTTGAGTCGGGCCCACCTGAGAATATAATCTTGATCTACTCTGATTTCACTGATTTTTGTTGCACCAATTCTTGGGTTCCTTCCAAAACCAGGTCCCAACAGTGGAGTGGGTGCAAAGATGCATCTGCTTTTTCTAGTTATTTTTTCATACAGATATCATAGTTCTGGGGTGGCCAAACTTACTGACCCTCCAAGCCACATACAATAATCTTCAAAAGTTCGAGAGCCAGGTGTGCCTGCTGGGGCTCAGGGCTTCAGCCCTGCAGCAGGGTGATGGGGCTAGGGCCTTCTGCCCTGCAGGGAGGGAGGTCTTGGGGTTTCAGCCCTACTCCTGCTGAAGCCCCCAGCACCAGCATGTATGTCCCGTGGGGCTGAAGCCCTGAGCCCCTGCAGAGATGAAGCCCCTAGACCAGTGGTTCTCAACCTGCGACCGCATGCAGCCCAATTAGCACAGAGCTGTGGCCCAGATGTGTGCTATAAGAATTAAAAAATTTGCCGCTTTGGTCTGGCGGGGGCGGGGCTGGCTGAGGGTGCAAGAGCATAAGGCAGCCTGCAGGAGCGCTTCTGCCAGCAGGGGGCTGGCGAGTACTGATGGGGTGGGAGAGTGGGTCTCTGGGCAGGTTGGGGGGGGACTCTCAGCATTGAGGGGGTGAGGCGCTGGGAAGTAGGGGTTTGTGGAGATGCTGCAGCACCCCCAGGTTTTAGGTGGGGCTCTGCTCCTGGCCCGGTTCCTCTGGTCCTGGCTGCTAGCCCGTACCCAGTGCTTCATTCCTAGCTGCCCAGTGCGGTGGGACTTGGGTCCTGGCTACTCGGTCCCACGTGACAGGGCCCGGCTGCCCAGCCCCGTGCCCAGGGCTCCACTCCTGGCCCTGCTCTGTGGAGGGGTCTCTGAGCGGGCAGGGGGTCGCTGGGCATAGGGAACTGTGGGGCAGGTATGTGGGGGAAAGGGGCGCTGTGAGCCGCACTTTAACTGTAAAAGAGCCACATGAGGCTCACGAGCCACAGTTTGGCTTCCCCTGTCATAATTGATTCACATTTATTAGAATTCTGCACCAGACCGTTTTAGTGGGAAAGAGCCTATCCAAAGCAACCTAAACTGTGGAAGCTACATTTGCTGGCTGTCCTTCACACCAGCCTGTTCATTTTGGCCTACTGCATGTCTCCGCCTCAAGTACTGTAACAAGCCAGACATCTTCAGAGACTGAACTTAGTGGAACCAAAATTTGTCCATCTTTCATGAGAGTAAAAGTGTAACATGTTATTTGTCCTATTCTAGATAAAGTCTATTCTATGTATTTTGATCTTTTTGTAAGAAGAATTATGTAATGCAAAGTGTTTTAATTTTGCATTTCAGCTTCAGAGAAGAAATTGCCAAATTTCTCACTGAGTATGCCAAAGCTCCAAAAGCACTGAATCCAGAGCATGTAAGAAACGAGTGCTTCATCTCTGCATCTTGCTTTTTTTAGCTATAGATATTTTCTGTACAGATTTGCTTATCTTTTAGAAGGTATTATAAAAGCATTTCCAGATGTCTCATCAAATTTAAAATGTTCTGGATTGCAAACAACACATGAAACTAGTTACAAACCCACTTAGTATGAAGAACTTATGCTGTTGTTCTTTGACCCTTAACTGATCTTAAATTCATAAAGTTCTAGGGCCCATATGCTCCAGATTTATGTTGTAGAGAGGCACTATAACCATGAGGAGGAAAACTGTAGGTTGGGTTCTGAAGGGGTTAGGGAGTTATGGCTGTGTTCTTCCCACCCCCTTTACTGCCATGGAAAAACGGTGTGTGGAGACTATGAATAGGGTAGGAGGGAAGTGGTTATGTCTCCCCAAATCATTTGCATAGGTTTCAAATGTAGAGTAATAGCTTGCGTATTTATGTATAACAAAACGAGCACTAAAATTCTGCCAGTGGTTATTATGTAAAACTCTTATTGACTTTAGCTGGGAGTGGCATATGCACAGTAACAAGATATGGCTGATAAAAGCTTCATTTACTTCCGGACTCTGATATTGTAGGCAACAATATATCAAGACTTTTCTATCCATCTCTGGATAGTAGGTGTGTAACACTTGTGATGCCTCAGTTAACCCACCTCCAGCTGTTGGGAGGTAGAAGGAGCTTTCTGTATCTTCACCTCTTTCTTTCTCACACACACCACCATTGAGCCTCTGGACTGTTAGAAAGGAGGCATTATTGCAGGACTGCACATTTTGGAAAAAAAACTTTCCAGACAGTGGTTATAAATCTTTCCTCTAAACCCAACTTTAGGCCTCAGTGCTGCTACTCATGTGTGATGTGCATGCAGGTTCAATTTAGAAGGCTATTGACTTTTTTTAAACCAGTAGTGCAAACCACCTTTATTTTTTTTAATTTATTTTCAAAATATTACAAACTGTGAAGCTGGGGTTTACAATGAAATGCATTAAAAAACCTTAACTGTAGCAGCACGACCAACTTGGATATCATATATAACACTCTAGTTTGCAAGATCAGAATCTTGCTTTACAATAATGGTTGCTTTTTAATAAAGTTCTTATCAAATCCAATCTTGCATATTCTTTACTTTTCTAAGTATTACCTTCTAACCAGTCACAAAGGTGTTGGTAGTTCTGTTGATATCATTTTGTCTACTTGTTTCAGATAGTTGTTATGAGTGGCTGTTGTGCTGTCTTTGCTACCCTTTCAACTGTATTATGTGATCCTGGAGGTAAGCTTAAAAATAAATTTTCTTAATCTGAAAACATTATATATACAGGTGAATTTCATTTTTTTTGTAACTTAATGAATGTGTGTAATCCACAGTGGCAATAAGTAGCCTTTGTATTTATTTATTGTATTTATATTAAAAGTGATAAAAGACACCTATTCAAGGCTCTAGTTGCCCAGATATATTAATTACAAAAATCCCAGAAGCATTAAAATAATAATTCCAATAGAAATCCAACTAGCCACCTACAGAGATTCGTTTTCACCGCTTCATTATTACAGAAAGCATATCCTTAGTCCTCTCCGAAATCCCTGTCAAAGATCTCTTTCAGTATGCCTGAAAGGTCACAAAATCTGGGCTAAAATTTGGATAATGGGAGGGAGCAAATTCCAGAGTCTCAGAGCCCTCACGGCGAACACCCTGCCAGTCCCCTCCTCTCTGTTATAGTGAGAGCACCCCTCTCTGGCACCTATAAAGATGTAAACTTTGGGGACAAGCACTGTTGCTGAATGTTCTGAAAATGTATGGAAATGTAAGTTTACAGTGTTAAAAGAAATAGTAGTATACAGATTAATCAAAATGGCAAGAGTTACTTCTAAACTTTGTTTACATGAATCACAAAAATATTGACTGCAAATGATGATAAATACAGATATAAATTAAATAATGATATGAATATGCTACCCTGAAAATACTATAGTACGTAGGAATAAGTAGGATGCAAGAAGATCTACTTATATCCTTGCAGCACCTAAATGAGGATGGGGAGAGGGAGGAGGGAATGCAAATCTTGGAGTCAAGCCAGTGGCCATGTGTATGTTTCAAACCACTGGTTGTAAAGTTCTGAGTGTAGAACATCATGACAGCAATAAAAACTTAAATAATAAGGGAGCTGCGTGGAAAGAGCTACCTTAAAAGATGGAAAAGCAAGAACATCCATTTGAAAAGGAAGTGACTGTATTGTATCTGGCAATACACAACTAAGATGCTTGGATACCACAGTGAATGGTGCAGTAAAAACCTATATAAAAGATCAAATGGGCATTATAACATGCGGGATACTGGCAGCTGAGTATAATACAGAAAAAGTAATTAAGATTCACAGTATTTACCTGAAGAAAAGATGGCAACAGTTGAATATTAACAAAATAATAATTTAAGCACACACTAGTCATATGCTAGTTTTGATATTAAAGAAACACCCAGTGGGTCAGGTCACCTTCAACTCATGCTTCATAAGTGGTTGCCAAAATAGATATTGAACTAAAAATGCAAAGGAAAAACAGCAGAAAATGACTCAGCAAATGGAACAAATTACTTTATGCTGGGTATCCGTAGCCATTCACTTTAGGGTGCAAAGTAGATGGTGAGAATAGATTGGATATAGATCTCTTGGAAAACAACAGATTCAGTCTGTAAATGTATAGTGAAGTAATTGTTAATGGGAATATTTACTATTACCTCTTATTTGCATTTTTGGTTTAGATGGGTACCTTATTCCTACTCCATATTATGGTGGAATAAATTCAAAAACCTGGCTGTATGGTGGAATACAACCTGTCCATGTGCCCTTGTTTAGTGAGGTAAAACTTCAGTTTATTAAAGACTGTATTATATGTATGTACAAAAATGTATGTTAAAGAATTTGAATGACAGTTTCACAGGGAGCATCAAAGCAACAAAAGACCACAGATTAAAGCAGGCATGGAAACTGCACTAGCCTCTTATCTTTTGATGTTTGGAGTGTTGTTGTAGCCGTGTTGGTCCAGGATATTCGAAAGACAAGGTAGGTGAGGTCTTATCTTTTATTTAACCAGCTTATGTTGGTAAAAGAGACAAACTTTTGAGCTTACATATAGCTCTTCTTCAGTTCTGGGCTCTGTGTAAGCTCAAAAGTTTCTCTCTTTCACCAGCAGAAATTGGTCCAATAAAACATGATCTCACCCACATAGTCTTCCTGTAAAGATGAGAGACTATCTTGTTCAGGTTGCAGCATATTGGTAGGATGGTGTGATCAACTTTGTACTTCAGCTGTCTACTGTACCTGCTCTGTTTACATGCAGAATAAGTTTTGCAGAACTGGCAGTTCACCTTTCACAAGCATTAAATTCATCATGTAAATGTTTATTTTCTCTAGCCCTGGAATATGTATTTCACCTTCCCACAATGAACCCAAATGTACTGCTTGAGAGAGAGAGCAGTCTGGGATAAAGATAACATTTAAAAACAAAATTATTGATGTGTGGACAGGAGTATTCTTGGTTATGAATTTGGAGATGGACCTTGGTTTTGTTCCTGTTAGCTTGTTTTTCCTCCTCCCTACTTGCACCTTTGTTTTTGAAAACTTGTTTTGCCTATGCTATTCAGAAGTCACACGTAGGGTATGTCTATGCTGCAATTAGACAACCACAGTTGGCCCGCAGCTCACCTGGCAGGGCTGTTTAATTGTGGCGTAGGGGTTCATGGTCAGGTTGCAGCCTGAGCTCTGGGACCCTTCCACCTTGCAGGGTTCTAGAACCTGGGGTGCAGCCCAAGTCTGAATGTCTATACTGCAGTTAGACAGCCCCTTAGTCTGAGCCCCGCAAGCCCAACTCAGCTGGCATGGGCAAAGCAGGGGCTTTTAATTGGAATGTAGACATACCCTTAGAAGGTAAGGGGAGCAATAGTAACTAAAGTCAGATACTGCTTTCTTCCAGAAATCACTTCTGCAAATACATATCAGATACATCCCTCTCCTCTTTAAAGCTCCCTTCCATTTAGACTGGATTATTTTAGAAACTTTAACTACTATTATATTTGCATTATTTGGAAGTGATTCCTTAACTGTTTTTTGTTGGTTTTGTCTTGCACAGGTGACTGATGAAGAAAGTCATCCTTTTCAATTAACAGTTGAAAAATTAGAGACTGCCCTACAGAGAGCTAAAGAACAGGTAGGAATGGTATTAACTGATCACCAGGACCAGCTGTGTGTGTTTTCTCTAAGTACAATGTTAATAACTCCGTTTCGCTCAACATTGGGACGTTATTTTATCTGGCCTAAAACCCAACTGCTTGAAATCTTACAGAAGTCTGAATTCATGAACTATTACAGGCATGCACACAACTCTGGCAACAAAAAAGACTTAAATTTCCCATATAAACCAGACAGTGTGATAATGTATTGCGTCTGCATCATACTACTTTGTACAGAATGAGTCTTAAAATGTATGTTTTTGCAGACTAAATTTCTCATTCACTGGTTTTACAGAAGTTTAGAGTGTAGTAAAGGCAACACATTCAGATCATTAGGAAGAGGAAGAGCATTACTTGAGTGGCCTGTTCAATTAAAAAAAAAAAAAAAAAGTCTTGTCAGATTCTGAAGGGAGTCCTGTCAATTTCCATCTAGCCAAGAGGATTGGGAACCATGAAACATGGCCTTGGTGATGGGAGATACAACAAAACAACAAGGGAAGACTCCTTGCAGAAAATTATCTTTCAAGGATTTTGCCAAAAATACGATCTTAGTTTTCTGTTGAAGTTATATTAAATTGCCTTATTCTAAGCATTCTTGCTTGAATGACTTCAACATGGTTGCACAGTTTGTCTTGTACTCTGAGTTTCTTTCATCCTATTCTGTTTCATATGTTCATATTAAAAACATGAAAGCATTATTTATATTGAACCTGTTTGCGGTGTTTTGCTCAATCATCCAGAAGAGGGAACACATGATAACTAGCAAATCTTGTTACCAGAGCTGTGGCGGTAGCATTGGTAATACTGGTTTCATAACAAGAAAGTAAACTAAGTAGAGTTACTGTTCTGTGTTTTCTAATTAACACAGGGTGAAAAGTAAGGTTTGATAAAAGGTAAAGGACATAGTTGCAGTAGGGAAGAAAATGTTTAAGTTTCGAAGAGAGTATTGCAAACAATCAACAGTAAAGCCTACAAATAAAACTGCAAAACATTTGTGTCTCTTTATAGTAAATGTGTTACAAACAGTTAGAGTTAAACAACCTACTCAGAGTTGCTAGCTTGACTTCTATATACATGAAACATTTATTTAATCATTTTCAGAATCTATGTCAAGCTGTGGGCATGTTACAGTTTAAAATAGATCATTATTATTTTTTAAAAATTTGTAGTAAACTTAAAGTCTCTGTTAATATTTTTGACTATCTGCTTCCTATAGTCACTTGCATCAATGACCAGTGAAGTCTCTGTCTTCACAAGACTTATTTTTCACAATTAACTCTCTATGTATTAAGTGACCACTGGTAAAAAGCATTTTTGGTGATACCGAGATGGACACTTCCACGTTATTTGTATTGAAGCTGTCCAACTTAAGTTGTAGGAAGAGCAGTTCCAACTATAGCTGGGACTTGGATTCACCACGTAGGTGCAGTAGTACCAGATCCTAACAAAGACACTTTAGCTAAACATCCCTGTGTTAGCTGTTGCCACAGGTTTTGCTATATTAATACAGTCACCTATCAGTGTTTCTGTTGGTATCATAATGCGAGCAGATTAAGCAAAACTAAGGGACCACAAGGTGAATTTAAGAGGTTCTGTCACTTAAACTGAGAACATGGTCCCTTAAGAGTAACGTTCCAACATGTATATGTATCTATGTATTAGACGTACCCTGGGTTTTGTCTCAAATAAAATTTCAGTATTTTAAGAAACTCTTAAGTAATCCCTATGGTTGTTCTAGTACATGAAACTCTCTCTCTCTTTAACAAAAAGTACAGTATTGGAAATATTCAATTTAATGATCTGATTGACTAAATATCAAGAACTTTGTAGTATCTTGAATGCAATTTTATGCAACATCTGCTAATTAATCTTGTGTTACAATATTCTAAAGTCTTGAATTTTACATTAACTACCCTTCAAATTATAACATTTCAGTGTACTATCTATAATTCCCTCCTTCCCATACACAGAAATAGCTGTAAAAATCAGGACTTGAATAGGACACTGCTTTTTGTGTGGAAGGGTATTTAAAGTGCACTGGAATCATATATTTTGAAGGGTGCGGGGGGAAGTTTTAGTTGTTAATTTATTATGACAAGGATCTTTCCCTTTTAGATAGTAAAGATTGTAGGATTTGGCCCAAACTTAGCCCCAAAGTCCCATAAAATCAATGGAAAATTGTTGATGTTGTATCTTAAAGGCAATTTTGATCTTGCATGTTCAATTTTTATTTGGAAGCTTTACATTTAATGAACTTTAACTTTTAGAGATCTGTATGATTCAATCCTTGTAAAATTGAAACTGTTTTCAAGAATAATATTACAAATAACTGCTTTGGGACAATTGTTACTGGAAGGCTCCAAAATAGATTTATTTCTAATTCAGTTCATGCTCATAACTCCCATTAATGTTAATGTAAATTACATATATCAAGGGGAGAATAGATTTCAGTGTTTCCTCACAACCGAAAATACATTTTCCTCTTTGTTTTTTGTCTCACATGTGATAGAAGTTCCTCGGATTTTTGTCCTTAAAAATAATTGCCCTCCTTTGAAGGTTAGAGAGGGGTGAGAAAAATCCTCAACCGAGCCAGTTCGCTAAAAACTAAATGGGGTAAACTCAAAATAGAAGTGTGGCATAATTCCAAATTTATCCTGTACATCAATTAGTGGATGACAATTCCTCCTATTGACATAGTGCTTGAATATAACAATTTATATTTCTTGCTATAATCATTGTAGTAATTGGCTGTGTATGCAATATAAAGCTTTTTGTTAGATAGAGAATATGTTAAATGTGTGTGTTAATTAGTACATATTGCATTAGTATACAATGGATGAGTTTTTCCTGAGTGTCCCACTACATACTGTATAAAAATATAATATAAAAAGAGCATGAAGTTGTGTGTTCCTAGTTGTATAACTGAATTTGTGTGGGATTCTTTTCTCTACACAGTATTTACAGCCTTTTATAACTGGAGGAGAGAAAACTCTCTAATCTCTGCAGAGTTCTATTTCAAATGTACTTTCCTCCATGGTTGAGCAAGACAGTTGGATATAAGTAATTATTTACTTCAATGTTTGTTTTAACTTTTCTAAATTCCTTTTAGGACACCAAGAAACTTAAATTTCATACTTCTACTGCCTTAGATGCTCTTAATTTTGTAAGGCAATAAGTTAAAAAAATTTGCTCAAAAACTGGTTGTGAGATATGAAGGTCCAAATTCTGCTCTGTCATGTCAGTCTGTATCCTTAGTAACACCGCTGAACTCTATGGAACGATTCTAGAAGTGTAAATGAGAGCAGAATTTGGTCCATACTGTATTATAATCCTGCCTGTTGGCATTCATATTTTTATGGAACTAGGACTAGCTCGATTTACATTTGCCAGTAAATTATTTGATATATTTCTTTGATGCTATTAATTGAAAAGGTTGGGTAAACTAGAGAACAAGTTGCGTAGCCGGAACTTCCTTGTGTTTTAGTGGTTTATTATTAAAGAAGGATCATATGTGCTCATGTGCAATCAAGTAAATATTTAATAACTTTTTATTGAAGGGGTAGCAGCTTTATAGCCTCGCTAGTCATTTGTTTGACGTCATGTTGGCGTCTCCGACTATCAGTTTTTCTTTTTTCAGGGCATCCGAGTCAGAGCATTAATCCTGATCAACCCTCACAATCCATTAGGGGACATTTACCCAGCACAGTTACTGAAAGAATGTCTAGAGTTTGCGCACAGGTTTGAGTCCTAGCGCTATTTGTTTGGGATTTAATTTCCATGATGCAATATGCTAGTTATAAAAATCACCTTTGGTAAACTTATTTTGTTCCATTGGGCATATGACCTGTGGGAGGGGTGGTTCCTTGTAGAGTTTATTATCCCATAACTATCCTTTCTATGCGGCCTTTCTGGGGAAATTTATAAGTGAAATTACTTAAAGTGGGACCCAAGATGCTATTTCTGAATGAATAGCCCTATGCTGAGAGTTAGCTCTTTGTGCAACTAAACAAAAAGCTTTCTTGTATGCATAGCATTGTTTCTGTGTTTAATGCATGTGTCAAAAAAATGAAAATTGGTAATTATCAAAGTCTTTAGGAGTGAGAGTGTATAATACAGATAGAACTTTCATTTGAAAAATTACCAAAATAATGTTATAAAATTGGCATTGTGAAAAAGGCATCTAATTGGCTAGGGAAGGTTCCAGGTATCAAGGTATCCTCTATATTTACCTAGTTTAAGATTTATAAGTCAATTTACTCTTCCTCAAAGAAGGAAGACCCCAATAAAGAAAGTATTTTCTGTTTTGCTTTTATTCTTCCTCTGACTCAGAGTTCATATTCTAGGATCTAACAATCTCCTGAAGCCTGGATGGGGGAGCATTTGCCACATTTAGCCTTTGCAATTTTTTACGCATTCAAATTCAATGTAATATCATTGGGAGTTTTGCCAAATAAGGACTGCAAAATTTGTCCTTATGCTATTAGTTTCCAGAGCAGAAGCAAATTTCTGATGATCTAAAATATAACTGGTTGGTATGCATTGATCAGTACATACCAAAAATATCCTGTTTATTAAATTATTTTCACTTTTGAAGCAAATTAACATAAAAAAACTGTATAACTTCTGATGATCTAGTGGCAGTTAGAGTTCTCAGAACTCTTATAAATTGTCAAAGCTGAATACTGCAAATTAGGGCTGTCAAACGATTAAAAAAAATTAATCGCTATTAATTGTGTGATTAAAAAAATTACGTGATTAATTGCACTGTTAAACAATAATTTAATACCATTTATTTAAATATTTGTGGATGTTTTCTACATTTTCAAATATATTGATTTCAATTACAACACAGAATACGAAGTGTACAGTGCTCACTTTATATTTATTTTTATTACAAATATTTGCACTGTAAAAAACAAAAGAAATAGTATTTTTCAATTCACCTAATACAAGTACTGTAGTGCAATCTCTTTATCATGAAAGTTGAACTTACAAATGTCGAATTGTATACAAAAAAAAAACTGCATTCAAAAATGAAACAATGTAAAACTTTAGAGCCTACAAGTCCATTCAGTCCTATTTCTTGTTCAGCCAATCGCTCACACAAATAAGTTTGTTTACATTTGCAGGAGATAATGCTGCCCACTTCTTGTTCACCATGTCACCTGAAAGTGAGAATAGGTTTTCTAAGGCGCTGTTGTAGCTGGTGTTGAGAGATATTTACATGCCAGATGCGCTAAAGATTCATATGTCCCTTCATGCTTCAGCCACCATTCCAGAGGACATTCTGATGACGGGTTCTGCTCGATAACAATCCAAAGTAGTACGGACCAACGCATGTTCATTTTCATCATCTGAGTCAGGTGCCACCAGCAGAAGCTTGATTTTCTTTTTTGATGGTTTGGGTTCTGTAGTTTCCGCATCAGAGTGTTACTCTTTTAAGACTTCTGAAAGCATGCTCCACATCTCATCCCTCTCAGATTTTGCACGGCACTTCAGTTTCTTAAACCTTGGGTCAAGTGCTATAGCTATCTTTAGAAATCTCACTTTGGTACCTTCTTTGCGTTTTGTGAAATCTGCAGTAAAAGTGTTTTTAAAATGAACAACACGTGCTGGGCCATCATCTGAGACTGCTATAACATGAAATATATGGCAGAATGTGAGTAAAATAGAGCTGGAGACATACAATTCTCCCCCAAGGAGTTCAGTCAGAAATTTAATTAACATATTATTTTTTTAATGAGCATCATCAGCATGGATGCATGTCCTCTGGAATGATGACCGAAGCATGAGGGGGCATATGAATATTTAGCATATCTGGCACGTAAATACCTTGCAATGCTGGCTACAAAAGTCCCATGCAAATGCCTGTTTTCACTTTCTGGTAACATTATAAATAAGAAGTGGGCAGTATTATCTCCCGAAAATGTAAACAAACTTGTTTGTCTTGGCAATTGGCTGAATGAGAAGTAGGACTGCGTGGACTTGTAGGCTCTAAAATTTTGCATTGTTTTGTTTTTGAGTGCAGTTATGTAACAAAAAATCTACAGTTGTAGATTACACTTTTAAGATAAAGAGATTGCACTACAGTACTTTGTATGAGGTTAATAGAAAAACACTATTGCTTTTGTTTATCATTTTTACAATGCAAATATTAGTAATCAACTAATTCTATTAATATAATGTGAGCAATGTACACTTTGTATTCTGTGTTGTAACTGAAATCAATATATTTGAAAATGTCTAAAAACATCCAAAAATATTAAATAAATTTCAATTGGTATTCTATTGTTTAACAATGCGATTAAAACTGAGATTAATCGCGATTAATTTTTTTGATCGTGTGAGTTAACTGCGATTAAGCGACAGCCCTACTGCAAATGTATTTTTTTGCAGCAGGACCCACAGACTTCAGGATGCAACAGTTTTCTAAAGTCAGTAGTAAAACAGCATTTTGAAAGGGGGAAAAAAAGATTCCCCTCACCCCCCCCCCCCCCGAAAAAAGCCTTAAATTTTCAAACAGAATACTTTTGTATTCTGAAACTGAATTTTCTTTTTTAAATTTAAAAATGAAGGGTTCTGTTACACTGGAATACCTGCACTGCTTGGGTGTTTAAAGGCATCCTGCCATTGATTCTATATTTCTGAATATACCCAAAGCATGCTGGTATCCAGTATAATCACACAACTTGCTGTGTATTTGTGGCTTTAACTTTGGGACAATAATAGGGAATATATATTAAATAAAACTCGCCATGCACGTATCTAACAGAACTGCACCCAGATTCATGTCTTGTTGCAATAAGTTCTGCATGGTAAACTACAATATGTTGCTACATTTTGTGTTTTAGTTTTTAAATAATTGGTTGTGGGGAACTATATCTGTCCTGCAGAGATATTCTTAGGACTCAGTAGAATTTTATTTTAGACATGCTTGCACTTAGTTCTGCTGGGAAGTACAGATTTATATAAAAATGGATGTTGGTAATATGTAAGTGCTTAAACTGAACCTTGTAATCTTTAATAAGAATTGATATTTTGAGTAAAACTTCTCTGGGGTGAGTATAATTATAAATAGGAAATAATTGTGGTAATTTATACGTGGAAATTTGTTAAAGCTTTGACTTTTAAATACTTCTCTAACATATTTATTTATTTCTATACATAGATATCAATTACATGTAATAATAGATGAAATATATATGCTGTCTGTGTACGATGATACCACCTTCACCAGTGTTCTTAGCTTAGATTGGTAAGTGTTGTAGCTTTCTACTATCATAATGCCAAATAGAATGTGAGCCATCTGTTCAGATTTCTGGGTGGCTAATCTTTATATCTCCACCTTTATAACTGAAACTGGTTAATGCACAGTGCCTTATTTTGTGTGCCTACAAGATTGTTTGCTTGCTTGCAACTAGTGCAGATGCATCAGCGTGCTTATCAGGAGTGGGGAAAGGAGTTTATCCTCCTAGTTGCTTCATTTTCTCCAATGGCTGCTGTTGCCACACAGACTAAGCTTAAGGTTTTCATTGGAATGTTATAGCCCTTAATGGACTCTTTCTATATAAGATGTCAGAAGTCCTGCAAGTTATCTACTGTATCCTCTCTCCATCTGGAATCAGATATTTTGGAGCGTTTGGGTTTCCTGGGGCATGTGAGGGAGAACATATCCCCCCTAAAACACGTAGGCATTTTGGCAACTTATAAATTTTTTCATAAAATACAGAATGTTCATTTTTAACTCTGTATTTAAGCACTTACTGAAATGCACCTCATACAGTAGTAATTCTCCAGGTCAATCCAAATGTGCCTAGCACAGTGAGCATCTGGTTGTTCTCTTATAATCCATAAGAAAAATTGGATAAGGGCCAAATTTTCGAGTACAGAATGAAGTCTGTGGTAAAAAAAATTTTAAAAGAGGCTTTTCTCTCTGTGCAAATTCATCCCAACATTATAGAGCTAAAGGATACAATCATCAGCCTCACCCTGTAACAAGCCAGGGCTACTAACCAAGGTGTGCAATGAGCTGTAGATGTAGCCTTCTGCTCTGCATTCTTCTTCCTTTATGAGGCTGTGGCTCAATGGAGTCACATTGTGTGAGGGTATGCCCTAAATAGGTCCCTTTCTCCACTTCATGATTTTAATATGCAGAGTCATCACGGAGCTCAGAACACTATGAAGTGCAGAAGGTATAGAGGGCCCTCTTGTGGATTTTGAGCCATTTACAGAAACACTCCATTGTGCTATGTGGGCTCTAAATGAATAGAATATCTTTAACAGGCTCATGTGTTTCAGCCTCTGTCATTTGTTTTTTATTAATACCTCAGCATTTATGTAGCTGCAGGATATCAATATTCTGCAATAATGACCTGTTACTAATTAGAATATTGAAAGCTATGAAGAAAAAATGGTTATATTCTTTCTACAAAACGATGTTGTAATTTTGAAAATAACTTTTATTGTATTTAGTCTGAAGGAAGTTGTGGTAATCTTCAAAAACATGAAGTTGTAATTACATCTGTAAAAGTTTTGTTTTGTTTTGCTCCTTCTCCAGTTTACCAGATCCAGAACGGACACATTTTATGTGGAGCTTTAGCAAGGTAGGTCCAGAATGTTGATTATATCTGAGTTTAGTTTTGAATATTTCTCTCCAAAATAACTTAGAATATAACTATAATCTTTTAAAGGAATTGCTTATTGCCAATTTGAAGCATTAGGACACAGTTTTGCCAGTTTACAGTGACAAAATAATGGAAAGTCTTTTCAATACTTGTGAAGAGCAGCACAAGCACTTTGTAAACATTTTGCTTTTAGGAGAAATTGCAGAAAATGAATATTTTAGAGCACTTCGGGGAAATTATATTTAACCTCTATTCCAAAGATGTGCAGTCTACTGGTGGTATCATTCATCTGTGGTTTCCCGCTTCCTCTGTCTTCTAAAACAGAAACAAAGCAGAGTCACTAACAACAGCATGGTTTAGTAGACAAAGGGTACGTCTATACTTACCTCCGGGTCCGGCGGTAAGCAATCGATCTTCTGGGATCGATTTATCGTGACTTGTCTAGACGTGATAAATCGATCCCGGAAGTGCTCGCCGTCGATGCCGGTACTCCTGCTCCGCGAGAGGAGTACGCGGAGTCGACGGGGGAGCCTGCCTGCCACGTCTGGACCCGCAGTAAGTTCGAACTAAGGTACTTTGACTTCAGCTACGTTATTCACGTAGCTGAAGTTGCGTATCTTAGTTCGAAGTGGAGGGTTAGTGTGGACCAGGCCAAAGCATGGGATTGTGGGCCAGGGACACTTGAGTTATAATCCTTATTCTGTCACTGATCTGCTGGGTAACCTTGGTGAAGCTACTTTATCTCTCTGTCTTAGGCCTGGGCTACACTAGCAGCGGGGGGAGGGGGGGGTGTTGAACTAAGATACGCAAGTCGAAGTATCTTAGTTTGACTTACCTGGCCGTCCTCACGGCGGCGAGTCGACTGCCGCGGCTCCCCCGTCGACTATGCTTACTCCTCCTGCCAAGGTGGAGTACGGGCGTCGATTCGGGATCGATTTATCGCGTCCAGACGAGATGCGATAAATCGATCCCCGATACATCGAACACTACCCGCCGATCCGGCAGGTAGTATAGACGTACCCTTAGTCTTTTCCATAGGTGCTGGAACTGGGGTTGCTGCTGCACCCCCGGCTTGAAGTGGTTTCCATCATATAAACATTTACAGTTTGGTTCAATGGCTCTCAGCACTCCCACTATACAAATTGTTCCAGCACCTCTCGTCTTCTCCATCTCTAAAATGGGGATAATAATTATGTACATGAATATTATCAGTTGGTCATCTAGTTACTTTGTATATAGTGTTTTGAAAATATAAAGTAGTAGTGGTGTTTTAAAATTCTATATAACTTTGTAAGGTTTCAGGGCTATATGGGTTTATCACACTGGGATAGAATTAGCTAATATGGACAGAGAGACATAGTTTGCCACCATGGTTGGAAGTGCCCAATGTACTCTGCATCTTGTAGCAACAGGCCCTTCATTTCTTTAAAATGTAGGTGTACTAATAAAGCTACTGAGCCAGTTCCATAAGAATGCTAGAAAATGTGTGTGATGATTAAATACCAAATTATCAAATACCAATTTAAATAACAAATCTTCAAGGCAAAAAGTCTTAACTCTTCCATCCTACTTCATTTTTGAAGGAAGGATGCACTGTTCAAATATTAATTTGTGGTACTTTTGATATGTGTAAAATATATAGCATTAAAAAAACCTTACATTTATAGACCTCTGACTTGTTTAAATTCTCAAAAATCAGGAAATGCCAACATCACAGTTGTACATGCAACTTTAACTCTGCCCCCTTGGGACTACATTCATGATAGTCTTTAGTTACCTGAACACACACATTATTTGTCAGATACAATATAATATCATTCAGTATTTTTTCTACAGCCTCAGACCAGTGTTCTTCTGTAATAATTGGGATCTGAGCCTCTGGATTCGACTATAACTGCAGATATTTAAGGCGTGCAAAATGTATTTAATATTGCAAAAATCCCATAAACTATGTGTTTCTTTGCTATGACATTATCTGATACAAATGTAACGGACTGTAAAACAAAAAGTTCAAGAAGAAAGGGCACAATCAATTCATATAATCATGGAACGCCATAGCTCACCAGTTACTCAGTTTTTTCCTTGATTGAGCAGCAGAGATGCACAGTTCTGTGGGGAACAGTACCACGGGTGGTCTGATAGTAGAATGAGCTCTCAGCTTCTGAGTAGCTTCATGCTCCCAGTGGCTGACCAGGATTTATTTGGAGTTTTGTTGCAAGAAGTGTGTGTCTCTGGTTGGTTGTTGGATTTTTTTGTTTTTTGTGTTGTTCGGTGAGATGGCCATTTCCCTAAACGTATTGGCCCACAACAGTGTCATTTGCCGTCTTGCTTATGTATATTTGCACTGGGCTTGTGTGTATTTTAATGTGACTAGTGCCATGGGATTGTCAACTGAAATTCCTTGAGCTTGATCCTGCATTCTCTACTCAGGTAAAACTTCTATTGATTTCAGTAGGAGCTTTGCCTAAGAAGGAATCTAGGGCTGGGTTCATAAATTGAAAAAATAAATACAGAGCACTTTTTCCATCAGTACTTAACAAAGGTAGGTAAATATAATTATCCCCATCTTTCAGGTGGAGAATCTGAGATACAGGCAGGTTAAGTGAGTTGCTCAAGGTCATATCACATTAGTGACGGATCTAGGAATAGAACCTAGGTCTTTGTGGCCTGTCCGCTGAACCATGTGGCTTCCCAGTTAGGTATGCAACAAGTTTACATAAATATAGTATACACTGTTAGCTACACAATTTTGGAAGCATTCATTAAGGCAGGAACTACTGTTAGCAAGATCACCCACACCCATTTCCAGGACTGGCATTTCAAACTCATTTCTCCTCAGTTCTTACCTACTTGTCCTATATACTGTAATTCTAGGACACTTATCTCTATAGTATGCATCTCCTGTGCGCATCAAAATGAGAAATGTTCTCCCTTCCTTCTAACACATGTATTTATCCCCTGAGATAAGAGGAGCAAAACTGGCAGTGTGGTCCAATTATAGTCTTTAAGTATAGATGTAGAGTGAAATTGCTGCCTTCAAATGTACACTTGGATTTGGGAATAATCTCTATGTAACTTTTCTTTTTGCCTTCCAAGGATTTTGGTATGTGTGGTATCAGAGTTGGAGTGTTGTACACCAGAAGTCATGAAATTCGGAAAGCCGTGAATAAACTGGCTGTTTTTCATGGATGTCCTGGGCCTGTTCAATATGTTCTGAGCCAGTTTCTTAGTGATAGAGGTTAGTAAAACAAAAACATTCCCATTTTCATTAGTTTTTGTTTCATGATAGTTGGAAATAAAATATAACAGAAATATGACAATTCTTTTTTGTTTTGATAGATTGGCTGGATAATGTGTATTTTCCTACCAACAAAAAAAGACTTAGAGAAGCACAAAATATTCTTGTGGATGGTCTCACAGAGATTGGAATACCTGTTCTCAAAAGTTCAGGAGGATTATACATATGGGCAGACTTCAGAAAAGTATGTTGAAAGCTTGGGAGGGGATGGGAAAGAGGGTTTGAAAAATTAATGCTGCTAACAGTTTATTTTTATATGAAGGCCTCAAGGCTTGTGGTAGAATTTTTAGACAGATATTCCTGTCCTCGCAAATTGTCTATTTTTCATTTTACATTAGAAATGATATTGCAATTTGGCAAATGCGAAAAAGCCTACTGGATGGCAATTCAATTTAACACATACTGTAAAACTATGAAATAAAGGAAGTTTCCTAAAATGTTCTATTAAATATAGAATATCTAACTTTAGAAGGCTTCATGTTCTGGTAGATAAGGTGCTGGTCTAACAGTTGAGCCATGGGGTCTTGTCCCAGCTGTGCAAGTGACCTGCAGTGTCCTTGGGCAAGTCACACAACCTCTTTGTGCTTCAGTTTACCCATCAGTAAAATGAGGAAGATATTTGCTCATCTTTGTAAGATTTACAGACAAACCTCACTATATAAATTTATGCAGTATAAATCACTCTAAAACCTGGCTACAGCAGATTGGTGGAGAATCTTGCTTTACCACTGACTGTGCTGTACCTGTTCTGCAGATGGATATGCATCTCTAGCACTGTTAATAAATGGTATATTCACATAAAACATTTAACTGGAGGAATCAGAATAACATTTATAACTAACAAGCCACAATATTTTGAGATGTGACTATTTATCATGTTTATTATAGTGGTGCCAGGGGCCAGCCAAGAACGGGCCCACTTGTGCTAGGCACTGTACAAACATAAAATAAGAAACTGTCCCTCACCTGAAAAGTAAACACTGTACATAGACAAGATGAAGAGTAGGGAAAGGGATATCACATACAAGCAGAGTAAATAATACGATGATGGTAAACATAAGAATGGCCATTCTGGGTCAGACCAAAGGTCCATCTAGCCCAGTATCCTGTCTTCCGACAGTGGCCAACATCGGGTGTCCCAGAGGGAATGAACACAACAGGTAATCATCAAGTGATCCATCCCCTGTCGCCCATTCCCAGCTTCTGGCAAACAGAGGCTAGGGACACCATCCTTGCCCATCCTGGCTAATAGCCATTGATGGACCTATTCTCCATGAACTTATCTAGTTCTTTTTTGAAATGTCATGTTCTGTGATTTTTGTGGTTTAAGTCCATTCAATGAGGTTATGTTAAGAGGGTATTAGCTAGATGGAAAGACAAAGATCAGAGGGCTTAGAAGGGGTTGGTGATTCTGAGGAGGGAGTAGAAGGAGCTGGAGCAAACAGCCTGTCGGCACAGGGGAGAGAGAAAGTTCATAGTGAAAACTGCAGAAAGCAGTCTGATATCTTTAGTATCCTTGTCCAATCTCTGCTTGAACTGCTTTCTGCAGCTGCTGTGCATGCTTTGGTCTCCAGGGGGTAAGTTTTCACTACAGAGTTAACTCAGGCTCTGATTTTGGTATTGCCCCTCACCCCCATGTCTATCCACATATAAAATCCTCTCATCCAGATTTGGTGTTTTCAACTCAGGCTAGCTGGCCCAGCTGGCATTTGGCTAGAGCCCGCATGCTGCTTTCACTCAGGCTAGTAACTGCCCACTTTACAATGAGGATGCAGGCTAAATCACTCAAGTGCTGATAGTCTTCTAATGCCTTTCCACAATTCCCTGTTTTCCTAGAAGGACAGACACATTCCTCCACAATTCACTGGGAAAGAATCACAGAGCAGCTTAGTTTTCTGCAGCACAAAGAACCATAGGATATGGCAGAAGTCTTAGTGACACGGGTGAGTGCAGCACCAGTCAGGACTCAGAAACTCGGGTGTGGCTTTGCAGTGTCGTGGCTCACACCTGAGCTAGACTAATTTGGGTTCTCGGACCCTGGTGCCAAGCACCTGAGTTACTTCTGCATTAAAGACATACCCTGGCTGGCTCCTTCTTGCTGTTTCTTTTTCAAAGGCCACGTGGCTGTGGGGAGATGCTGCTTGGGTCATTTTGCCCCAGATAGCAGTCTGGCCTACACAGTATGAACGTATAGAATGGATCTCAGAAGTTTATGCAGTATAATGGGCAAAGGAATTACTAAGAAGTAAGCTTTTGACTTGATTTTCAGAATTCTTGAGCACCCAAAACTCTAAGATAAGTTGGTGGGAGCTGCAGGTGTTCAGTAATTCTGAACATCGTGCCCTTTTCTGCTTTAGCCTTCATGTGGAGTATACTTTGTTGCAGTAATTCATTAATTTAAGGTTGTATTCCAGTTTTCTTAATGCAGTTTTTGTTTTTCCTCTTTTAGTTCCTAAAATCACAGACATTTGAAGCTGAAATGGAATTATGGTGGAAGTTCCTTGATAAAAAACTCCTCATTAGTCCTGGAAAAGCCTTTTGCTGTTATGAGCCTGGATGGTTTAGAATGGTCTTCTCAGACTCTGTAGATAAGATTTACTTGGGTAAGTTAGGTGTTACCTTTATCATAAAATAATATGCATGTTCTAATAAAAGCAAACAGCATTCTGGGGTGTTATCAGCAGGAGTGTTGTAAGCAAGACAGGAGAAGTAATTCTTCCACTCTATTTTGCACTGATTAGGCCTCAGCTGGTGTACTGTTTCCAGTTCTGGATGCCACATTTCAGAAAAGATGTGAACAAATTGGAGAAAGTACAGAGGAGAGCAACAAAAATGATTAAAGGTCTAGAAAACATGACCTATGAGGAAAATTGAAAAAGATGGGTTTGTTTAGTCTGGAGAAGAGAAGACTGAGGGTGGGACATAACAGTTTTCAAGTATATAAAAGGTTGTTACAGGGGGTAGAGGGTTGAAAAATTGTTCTCGTTAACCTCTGAAGTTAGAACAAGAAGCAATGGGCTTAAATTGCGGCAAGGGAGGTTTACATTGGACATTAGGAAAAACTTCCTGTCTGGGTAGTTAAGCACTGGAACAAATTGCCTAGGGAGGTTGTGGAATCTCCATCATTGGAGGTTTTTAAGAACAGGTTACACAAACACCCATCAGGAATGGTCTAGTTATTACTTAGTCCTCCCTTGAGCGCAAGGGACTGGACTAGGTGAACTATTGAGGTCCCTTCCAGTCCTATACTTTTATGATTCTATAGAAAGGTGGTACATCTCAAATGTTGAGTTCAAAACTTCTATTTCCTACTGACTTGTGAAGGCAAGAGGTTTTGGGTCATATTCAGATCTTGTGTAAGACAGTGCTGGTCAATTAGTCTGAATTTGTAGATCCAATGTTAGCATTATCTAAGTGATTTTTGTTCACAGTTTTTAGGATAAGTCTATATTTTTAGTTTATAATTGGTAGAATATAGTTACTGAAGGCATTGAGCATTTTCCTCTGTGAGACTAGAGTAATTTATTTTGTTGTTTTAACATAAAGCCAATTTTGAGAGGACTGGAATAATTTAACAACCAAAATACAAATTAATAGTTTTGAAAAATCCAGTAATTCTGATTGAATAAACATATTGATGTCTGATAGCATATTTAGGTAAGCACTTTTCCCTGAACTATTGCTATCATAAAGGAAAAATTACATACATGCACGCACACACAACCTAAAGTTTTTGCCAAACTATGTTACTAATTACACTTTAGGTCAGGAGTGGGCAAACTCCAGCCTGTGGGCTACATCCGGTCCAGCCCCCGAGGCCCTCTGGGTGGCGGGGCTGTGAGCTCCTGGGGCAGCGCAGCTGCAGAGCCCAGCCTGACCTGGTGCTCTGTGCTGTGTGGTGGCGGCAGCGTGGCCCGGCTCCAGCCGGGCAGCGCGGCTGTAGCACCGCCAACCACCAGTGCTCCAGGCAGCGCAGTAAGGGGGCAGGGAGCAGAGGGGGTTGGATAGAGGGCAGGGGAGTTCGGGGTGGTAGTCAGGGGGCGGGGGTGTGGATGGTGGTTGGGGGGGAAACGGGGTTGAATGGGGGCAGGGGTCCCGGGGGCCAGTCAGGAAGGGGAGGGGGTTGGATGGGGGGGGGCAGTCAGCGGCAGGGGTTCCAGGGGCAGTCAGGGGACAGGGAGAAGGTTGGATGGGGCACGGGTCCCGGGGGGGGCATCAGGAATGAGAGGAGGGGTTGTATGGGGCGGTCAGGGGACAGGTCAGACTGTCAGAAAACAGGGTAGACAGCCCATGTGACCCAGGGTGCCTGGTGTAGCCCTCACTGAAAATGCCAAGGTCAGGGCAGGCTGCAAAAGGGAGAGCAGATACTCCCAAGACTGGTGGTTCACATTGAAGTAGACTCACCAACCAGTCACAAACTGTGGTCCTGATTCCCTACACTGGTTATCAAGAAGCTAAAAAAGAAATCACATTAGCCCCCTTTATTGCATTCCAGTTTTCTGGCTCCCAGACAAGGTGCAGTAAGGTGAGGAGTTACTTAAAAACTCTTCTCACTATACAAAATATTCTTCTGAACGCCAAAGGGCCAGCCACATTGCCAGCCAATCCTTTAGCATCTAAAACTAAAGGTTTATTACAAAGAAAAAAGAACAAGAAGAGAGTTGTTAAATAGTAAAGCAGTCAGATACATACAGAGACTTCAAAGTCCATATACAGTAACTCCTCACTTAACGTTGTCCCGGTTAACATTGTTACATCGCTGATCAAATAGAGAACATGCTCGTTTAAAGTTGCGCAATGCTCCCTTGTAACATTGTTTGGCAGCCGCCTGCTTTGTCCACTGCTTGCAGAAAGAGTAGCCCATTGGAGCTAGCTGGTGGGGGCTTGGAACCAGGGTAGGCCGGCAGCCCCCCATCAGCTCCTCACTCCCCTAAGTTCCCTGTGCGTCAGCTACCCAGCAGGCCATCAAGTGCCGGGCAGTTCAGTTGTCCCTCCCACACTGGAGTGTGCTGCTCCTGCCCTCTGCCTTGGAGTTTCTCCCGGGATCCTCCAGCCTGCTGTGTGTGGGGGGGGGGGAGGGGGGGAAAGAAGGGTGCTAATGTCGGGGTGTCTCCTTCCCCTCTGCTCCTTTTCCCCATCTCCACTGAACAGAGCGGGGGACACGACAGGGCTCAGGACAGGACGGACGGAGCTTGCTGGCAGCAGCTGCCGTCTCAACTTGCTGATCTACTTAAAAAGGCAGTGTACTTAGAGTGGGGTCAGCGTACTTAAAGGGGCAATGCGAGTCTCTCTCACACACACACACACACACACACACACACACACACACACACAGTTGTCTCTGTCCCTGTCTGCCATGCTGTCTCCCCTCCCTCCATTCATGCTGCCTTGTAGAGTGTGAGGTTACATTAACAACAATGTGTTAACCCTTGAGGACTCAGCCGAATGCTAGTTCATCATTTAGCAGTAAGGCATTCCCTGGGAAATATCCCACCCTCTGACTTCACCACCTCAACCAAGCTTCACAATCATCGTTGCTGTGTACAGTATTAAATTGTTTGTTTAAAACTTATACTGTGTGTGTATATAAAATATAGTCTTTTGTCTGGCAAAAAAAATGTCCTTGGAACCTAACCCCTCTCCCACCCATTTACATTAATTCTTATGGGGAAATTGGATTCGATTAACATTGTTTTGCTCAAAGTAGCATTTTTCAGGACCATAACTACAATGTTAAGCAAGGAGATACTGTATCAGGTTCTTAGCAGACCTGGTGAGTTTGCTGGTTTGAAAGTCTCTCTGGAACACATCCACAGCTTGGATGGATCATTCAGTCCTTTGTTCAAAGCTTCATTTGTAGAAAGGTTACTCCAAGGGAAGAATCAGGAATGAAGACAAATGGAGATGATGCAACTGCCTTTAATATTCTTTTGCCATGTGGCTTGTACTTCCTGTGTCCACAAACACAAGTTTTACAGCACATAGCGTGGTAGAGTCTTAGCATTCTTTCCATAAGCATACCACATGCCTTGCTGACTCGTAAGGTGTATCCCCTGGTTTCTTTCAATGGGTTAATTATACAGTTGATGACCCTTGATGGGCCATCAAACAGGCTAGGCAGTGCCCTGATGCCAATCTGTCTGGGGGTATCACAAGTTTGGAAATACAGGTATACCATACATATATATGGCTGTCTCCCAAGGTCTGTGAGAGTGAGGGAAAAGAATGGAGAAAGCTTATGCCCAAATAAATTTGTTAGTCTCTAAGGTGCCACAAGGACAACTCCTTGTTTTTGCTGATACAGACTAACACGGCTACCACTCTGAAACCTGTCATAATGCATTTAGTTGAAGCATTGTTTCTGGATTGCTGTATTAGTTTTCATGCAGTTTTACATATTAAGTAGTAATTTCTCATCTAAAAGTTAATACATTTTGTGATTAAAGGCTGACTAAGTACAAAGATAGTAACCACAGGAAACAGGTGAAGACAATAACATTAGCATTTCACTAGCTTTCATGCATTTAGAGCAATGGTAATTCCTGGCATATGCCATGTACATGTAATGGGATAACATCCCCCTTTGTTCTATCCTAACCAGTGAATTGGTACACTTAGCATTTCCTTGAGGTTGTGATCTGAGTTGGCTGGCTGGCTGTCAGCACCACAATATAAATAAGAGAACTACTTTTCATAGAAATTAAAAACAAAAAAAAAAGACGTTTCCTAAACATGATTTCTCTCTTCATGGAGGAAAGCTGGTTTGATATGAGGATATGTAATGAGAATTGTTGGGACGCTTTGGCATTAGTAAACATCTTATCTGTTGGCTTATGTAAATTAAGGTCCTGATCCTGCAAATGCTTAAGCACATGCTTGGCTTTATTTATGCATGTGAGTAGCATTTTTAAGACCTTAATGTGACTATTGTTACATAAAATTAAATGTATGTTTGCAGGATCAGAGCCTAACTCTGTCCTTCTAAATTTTCATGATTAAGGGCCAAATCCTGCAATTTCTTTTCTCGGACAAAACTCCTATACAATCTGAGTAAGATCTTTTCTGCACAGTAACTGGAACTGAAATAACTACATTGGTTGTAATTCAAAGTGTTATTTCAGATAATGCCCTATTTCGGTAATTCTTAATTTGGTTTTAAAAAATCTATTTACAGTAGGACGTTTTTATTCTGAAATGAGTATTGACACACAGACTTGCATTGAAATAACTAAAGGTGTGAATTACAACAGAGTTTAGTGATGTAAATTGCAGTTGCCACGTAGAAAAGAAATGCAGGACATAGATATATGGATTTGAAATCTGTTGAAGCTTTGCAGCTGGCCACATCAGCTTGTAAATTAAAAAAAAACCCAACAACTTTGTTTTGTAAAAATAATCTTTTCACGAACTGAAGTCAAATAGAAATGTTCTCTTGACTTTTTTTAAAGTTCCAGTGGAAACAGTTATTACATACATTTTTCCTGCAGAATTTGCAACCCAACGGCTGCATTATTTTGATCATGCATGAGAACCAACTTGAAAATTGATGTAACTTGAAAGTGAAAATAAAAAACCCTGCAATTAATCTATTTATCCAATCTGAGAAATGTAAAAAGATCATTTGTGGAAAAGTAGTCCTGCATTCTGCATCATTTGTGGAAAAGTAATTTGGATTTTAAAAATTCTCTTCCAACAATCTAAGATGTTTAAAGTATAGTTAAGGACACTTTCAACACCACTGCTTCCCTTGAGAAGAAACTTATACTGATGTGTCTTTCTTTTTACAGGTATACAGAGACTTGAGCAAATGCTGCAAACTGAAACTGCTGAACCAGTTGCAAACAAAAAATCTGCTGTAGAAGATGAGTTATCTAATTTAGAAGACGAAACTTCAGTGAATCACGCAAATACACCATTAGATGAAGTTTCAGAAGCATACTCGGATATGAAAAAAATTGTTGTCTATTAAAATCTTATATGAAATTGGAGACTAAACAAAACATGATATAGCATGCGTATGTTTACTAAAATTGTTACTTTGACTGTAATACTTTAGGACAGTCTCACTTTGCTGTAGCCTGTGGTTACTAATTTGCAAGCTGGACTCCTAGAATATTAGTAACCTGGCCCCTATCCTGACTTTAGCCTCTGTTCTGCAAAGCACTAAAGCCCACTTTTTAAGCATGCTGTTAAATACCATTAAAGTCAGTGGGTCTTAAGCATATGCTTAAGTGCTTTGTTGATTAGGGTGGGTTTGCTTACTCAGGGCCTTAATGAATCTTGAACACAATATTTTATATTATGGAGTATATATTTTAATCAGAAGACTGAAAATGTTGAACTAGCTGATACTGGTTGTCAAATTTTACTAAATTTGTCAGTTGACAGACAGACAGACAGACATGTGTATATATAAAATCTACATGGGAACTTTTTATGATGGTTAAAATAATTCATACATGAGCCTTCTGAATATGCACATCAGTGTAAATACTTGTTTACGAAATATTCAGTTTTTTGGCTTTCATGCTTCCTTTCAGATGTGTAAAAACGCTTATTTGTATATTATAATATTTGCATCTTTTTTTGCAAAAAACATCAGTTTTTCTCATAAAATATAAATGTAAAGAAATTTAGAAGTATGTCGTATGCATTCATTTTGACAGGTAGATGTGTGTTGGACCAATGTTTAGACCTATATTTGTAGATTTAATTCATAGCTTTATTTATTTTAGGCATGGGAAGGGGGGAAATTTAAATTGCAAAATTAGAAGCCTTCTCTTTTACAGGGAATCTCAATATGAAAAAAAAGGACTTTCCATAGCATTTAAAATACCGTTAGAGGTGGTGGTTGTCGTGCTACCTATATTTAGACAACCTTAACACGTTCCATTATAAAATCCTGTCTTTAGTTGCCCACCCTTGTGCCGCCCCTTTCTTCTGAGGCCCCGCCCCCCACCGCTTGCCCTTACAGCCAGCAAAGAGTGGGAGAGCATAGCCCTCCCACTTTTAAAGGGGGTGGGCATGGACTCCTAACCCCCCCTGTTCCAGCGCCCCTGGCTGGGGTAGAGAGGCAGAAGTGCACTTGATCTTGGATTCCCAAGTTGCAACATTCCTCTGACTGCTAGCTAAGCTGTGAATCCCACTGGCAAATGTTTCTTCACTTTCTAGTGAGGGTCAACATGGGTCCACATAACAGAATTTCTGTTTTGGCTTTGGGGGGGCATAGGGGAAAAGTGGCTGCTCTTTAAAAATGTAAGAAATTAAATTTTAAAAGAGACATTAAAACATTAAGGTTATAAGGTCAAGCAGTCAAAAGTTAAGAAATGCCAGAATTAAGGCACCCTGTGCAGTCTTAGGGTATGTCTACACTACGAGAGTAGTTTGATTTTACTTAAATCGAATTAGTGGAACCGATATTACAAAGTCGAACGTGTGTATCCACACTAAGAACAGTAATTCGGCTTTGTGAGTCCACACTAACAGGGCAAGCGTCGACATTGGAAGCGGTGCACTGTGGGCAGCTATCCCACAGTTCCCGCAGTCCCCGCTGCCCATTGGAATTCTGGGTCGAGCCCCCAATGCCTGCTGGGGAAAAAAATGTGTCGAGGGTGGTTTTGGGTAACTGCCGTCATTCAACCATCACTCCTGCCCTCCCTCCCTGAAAGCGCCGGCGGGCAATCAGTTCGCGCACTTTTCTGGTGAGTGACCATCGCTGCAGTTATGGCCGTTGTCAACACCTCGCACCTTATCCACCTTTTTCAGAGGCAGATGCTGAGAAATCGGGCGAGGAGGCTACGGCAGCGCGGTGAGGACATGAAGTCTGAGAGTGGCACAGACCTCTCGCAAAGCACAGGACCCCGCGCCGTGGATATCATGGTGGCAATGGGTCATGTTGATGCTGTGGAACGGCGATTCTGGGCCCGGGAAACAAGCACGGACTGGCGGGACCACATAGTGCTGCAGGTCTGGGATGAATCACAGTGGCTGCGAAACTTTCGCATGCGTAAGGGAACTTTCCTGGAACTTTGTGAGTTGCTGTCCTCTGCCCTGAAGCGCAAGGACACCCGGATGCAAGCAGCCCTGACTGTCCAGAAGCGAGTAGCCATAGCCCTCTGGAGGCTTGCAACGGCAGACAGCTACCGGTCAGTCGCGAACCACTTTGGTGTGGGCAAATCTACCGTGGAGGTTGCTGTGATGCAAGTAGCCAACGCAATCGTTGAGCTACTGCTCTCAAAGGTAGTGACCCTGGGAAACGTGCAGGTCATCATAGATGGCTTCGCCGCGATGGGATTCCCAAACTGCGGTGGGGCTATAGATGGAACTCACATCCCTATCCTGGGACCGGAGCACCAGGCCAGCCAGTACATTAACAGAAAGGGCTACTTTTCAATGGTGCTGCAAGCACTGGTGGACCATAGGGGACATTTTACCAACATCAACGTCGGATGGCCGGGCAAGGTTCATGACGCTCGTGTTTTCAGGAACTCTGGTCTGTTTAGACGGCTGCAGGAAGGTATTTACCTCAGCTCGGGAGCAGCCCATAAGTTCGGAGAACATCTCGTCCCGTGTCCTTCTCTTTCTGCGCCTAATCTGCGCCAGCCTCTGGGAGGGGGATGCCGGGGTAGGTCGGGAGACCCTCGCAGCTGTGGGATGGGAAAAAGGGAGTGAATTCCTCACAAAGATACATTTTTGTGAACAATGAACATAGTCTTTCTCTGTGAACAAGACCATGCACAGCACCTATCACATGCGCACTCAGGACAAGGTCGAATTTTCGGCCTTCCCATTCAATGCCTGGGGTCTTGGAGTACAGATCACACAAGCGGGGCAGGACAGCGGAATTCGGGTAGCAGGCGGACATGGTAAGCCATAGACTTTTGGCTGCTGAAAGCTTAATTTATAGCAGTGCCCTCCTTTCACTTTCAAAGCAATGCCCCTAGTGTTGGCCAGTTCCTGCTGCCGGCAATCCGGCCAGCATGAACTCTGCCCCTGTCCCACCCCCCTCGCGGCTGTCCCCGGGAAAGATCCCTGTATGCTGCCCCTGTCCCGCCTCCACCGTGTGGCTGTAAACCGCCGGTTACAGTTATGTAAAGGAACAGGCAATCAGTCCCAATACTAACATTCCCCTAATTTAAAGCAGGTCACCATGAGTGATATCACTCTGATGAGGATTTCGGACACTGAGAAAGACCGCATGCTGCATGAATGCCAGCAAAAACCAGGGCCGTATGCGGCCATGCTGTGCAAGGCACTGATCCCGGAGTACTTGCTGCTAGCCTGGCGCGGAAAAGTTTCCTACCATGGAGGACGCAATAAGGCCGCTCTCCCCAGGAACCTGATGCAAAGGCTTTCAAATTACCTCCAGGAGAGCTTCGTGGAGATGTCCCAGGAGGATTTCTGCTCTATCCCTGGACATATTGACATAATTTTCCAGTAGCTGCACTGGCAAGGACTAAAAAGTAGAGCGCCTAGGGCAAACTAATCATGAAAAAACGGACATTTTGAGATACTTTTGTAGTAGTTGCACTGGCAAGGACTAAAAAGTTAAGCGCCTAGGGCAAAGTAATCATGAAAAACCCATTGTTAGTATTCCATTCCTGTTCTGTTCAAAATAAATGTTTACATGTTTAAAACACTTACCAACTGATCCTTCCCTTGATTCAGGGTCACGGTTAACGCCTTGGGAGGGTTGGTAGGGGATCTCCGTGAGGGTGATGAAGAGATCCTGGCTGTCGGGGAAATCAGCGTTGTAAGCGCTGTCGACTGCCTCGTCCTCCTCATCTCCTTCCTCATCTTCCCCATCCGCGAACATCTCCGAGGAAGCGGCCGTCGACAATACCCCATCGTCAGAGTCCACGGTCAGTGGTGGGGTAGTGGTGGCGGCCGCACCTAGAATGGAATGCAGTGCCTCGTAGAAACGGCATGTCTGGGGCTGGGATCTGGAGCGTCCGTTTGCCGCTTTGGTCTTCTGGTAGCCTTGTCTCAGGTCCTTGATTTTCACGCGGCACTGCGTTGCATCCCGGCTGTATCCTCTCTCCGTCATGGCTTTTGAGATCTTCTCGTAGATCTTCGCATTCTGTTTTTTCGATCGCAGCTCCGAAAGCACGGACTCATCGCCCCACACAGCGATCAGATCCAAGACTTCCCGATCAGTCCATGCTGGGGCCCTCTTTCTATTCTGCGATTGCATGGTCACCTCTGCTGGAGAGCTCTGCATCGTTGCCAGTGCTGCTGAGCTCGCCACGATGTCCAAACAGGAAATGAGATTCAAACTGGCCAGACAGGAAAAGGAATTCAAATTTTCCCGGGGCTTTTCCTGTGTGGCTGGTCAGAGCATCCGAGCTCGGACTGCTGTCTAGAGCGTCAACAGAGTGGTGCACTGTGGGATAGCTCCCGGAGCTATTAGCTTTGAATTCCATCCACACCTACCCTAATTCGACATGGCCATGTCGAATTTAGCGCTACTCCCCTCGTCGGGGAGGAGTACAGAAATAGAATTTAAAGAGACCTCTGTGTCAAACTAAATAGCTTCGTTGTGTGGACGGGTGCAGGGTTAATTCGATTTAACGCTGCTAAATTCGACATAAACTCCTAGTGTAGACCAGGCCTTAATGTAGCCCCCTTGTGCATATGCACTATGGTAATAGGCTTTACATGATCATATGCTACTTTTCCATAGGACTCTGCCTCATTTAGTGCGCACGATGGATGGTGCTCACTGCATGGTTTCAATATAGGAGTATTTAACTTTGCATCTTTAATGGAAGGGATTTTTATGTAATACTAAGGGTATGTCTACACTACGAGAGTAGTTCGATTTTAGTTAAATCGAATATGTGCAATCGATATTAGACAGTCGAACGTGTGTGTCCACACTAAGGACAGTAATTCGACTTTGTCAGTCCACACTACCAGGGAAAGCGTCGACATTGGAAGCAGTGCACTGTGGGCAGCTATCCCACAATTCCCGCAGTCCCCGCTGCCCAATGGAATTCTGGGTCGAGCCCCCAATGCCTTCTGGGTAAAAAAATGTGGCGAGGGTGCTTTTGGGTAACTGTCGTCATCCGTCAGTCACTACCGCCCTCCCTCCCTCCCTGAAAGCGCCGGCGGGAAATCAGTTCGCGCACTTTTAGATCAGTGACAGCGCGGACGCCACAGCACTGCGATCATGGATCCCGCTGCGACCATCGCTGCAGTTGTGGCCGTTCTCAACGCCTCGCAGCTTATCATACACCTTTCCCTGAGGCAGATGCAGAGAAATCAGGCGAGGAGGCTACGGCACCGCCGTGAGGGCCTGAAGTCGGAGAGTAGCACAGAGCTGTCAGAAACCACGAGCCCCAGCGCCCAGGACATCACGGTGGCAATGGGGCATGTGGATTTTGTTGAACGGCGATTCTGGGCCCGGGAAACAAGCACGGACTGGTGGGACCGCATAGTGCTTCAGGTCTGGGATGAATCCCAGTGGCTGCGAAACTTTCGCATGCGGAAGGGGACTTTCCTGGAACTTTGTGACTTGCTGTCCCCTGCCCTGAAGCGCAAGGACACCCGCATGCGAGCAGCCCTGACTGTCCAGCAGCGAGTGGCCATAGCACTCTGGAAGCTTGCAACGCCGGACAGCTACCGGTCAGTCGCGAAC